TGTGTGTGTGTGTGTGTGTGTGTGTGTGTGTGTAAATGTGTCTGTCATCTCTGCTTTATATACCAGTGGTTAATGCCTATTGCTCCCTGATGAACCGTTAAATGAGTGCATATTAAAAGACAAACATATTCACACACTTACACTTGAGCACACATGCTTGAACTGACACACACACATACACACACACACACACTTTTCCCTCTGGTCATAAGTGAGAGCTGTGCTATAAGTCAGCACTGCATCCATCTTTTCCATTCTATGACCTTTTTGGGGTCATACACCAAACCCCCCCCCCCCCCAAAACAGCCTATGCATCACAGCTTGGACTGTGGCCAGACTGCCTCCGCTGCCGCAATTATTTCCAACATAGGCCCCTGAAAATGCAGATGACAGAATGATGAAAGCTCGGCAGCTAGATAAACACCAGACAGCGAGGTTGAACGAGAGACTAAATGAAGGAGATAATTAAAAAAGAGCAGGCAGAGGAGAGAGCAAGGCAAGAGCCAGAGCAAAAATTGGAATGATGTTAATATTGTGTGAAACGGAGAGATGGCGGTATAAGTAAAGGGCGATTGCAACTCTAGCCGATTTGTGCTTCCTACTTGTGCCTGTGTATCCAGCTGCTCGGAAACGCAGCGGAGCAAGGTCAGAGAGGTCGCACACATTGCTTGGAAATCCATAACCTACATACAGTTAACTGGCTGATGACTTGACCTAAATTCATCAGCGCTCCTGTGCTTTACAGTCAGCTGGGATTCAATCTGTTGTGTATCTGGGCATTTTATAGTTCCTGCACTCTCACACTTGACAGGAACAATGATAAATGCTTAATGAAACACACTTAATGTATAATTAAGTGTGACTGTCATCCAGTGAGCTTACCTTGTATATACGCTTGTCTCCTATTTTATGAAGCCATTGTGTTGAGCACACTGAAACCAATATCCCTCATTAGGCCCACATCTTCACAGTATAATAGACTTAATCAACTTGTCCCACTTGTTTATTGAACACAAGAACAAACAGACACTGCCTCACACAGTTTCATTCAGTGATACTTATAAGAACCAAACGCCTTTGAGATTTCTTCTGAGCCTTATGTTCTTTTTTTTCCTCCTGACAGACAAACGGTATTTATTAAAGATAAAATACACAGAGTCATTTCCATGAAAACATAGCTTTTGAAAAAGATTCCTCTTTACTTGGAAAATATCATGGACTTAAAGTATGGGCACTTCAGATAAATGAAGTGTTGATAATGATTTGTCATAGTACAAGCTTCCTCTGCAAGTCTCTGGGTACTAACTACGTCTAGTAGTGATATGAAGTTGATGAATGAATGAATGCCAATCTGCAGGACCAGTGTCCCCTGACCACAGCAGCCAAGACTCACACTCAACTTTGGGTGTTTTTATGATGATGACAGCTAAAATACTCTAGATAAAATAAAACAAAATCTTTGTATCCATGGGAGACTGAATGTACTTGTTTTAGTGATGACCTTTTAATGTTCATACACAGTAGCTGCACACAAATCCCTGTAAAAGCCACTGAACAGAACCTCAGTTTTCTCCAGACGCACACTTGGAGATTCAGAAATCTAAAAAATCATTTCTAACCTCTCAAGCAGCAACTACAAGCTAAATGCTTTGCTCAACTTATAGGCTACATTTGCCCTCAGTCTAGTTTCCGGAGAAATAATAATCAAAGCCGTCGCAGTGTGTGTGGAGACGTGTGGCTTCACTTTGCAAAAGCGCCATGTAAGGTCTTGTACCACCAACTGAGAGAAGAAAAAACATTTAATTGGAAATGTTTGACAGACTAAAGCGTAACACAAAACAAGGCTTTTTCTGATATGTATGTACAGTCTTATTCAACAAATGTCTCAAAGGGTATCACTGTTTAATTCATGGAGAAATATTAGACAGAAAGCCTGCCGGCATTAACTGTGTTTGTGCTTCCACTTGACCTTAGACGGGAGTTCTTCCTGGGTTATGAGCATTCACGGCATGCACAGCTGGGCAGATTTGCACTGACTCACTCGCAGAGACACACATATATGGAAAATACACTTGCACTCACATCATGGGGATCGAATTTTCAGGTGAGTGTGTACAGAGCCAGAGCTTAGAAGCCTTGCACACATGCAGTATGAGCCCTCGACTGTCACTTTCACCGTGCTGTCAGACAACACCATGACCTTCGCGTGATGAGGGACTTAGTGAATGAGTGGAGTACATTTTTTTTGTGTTTAGTCAGAACCTACTCTCACATCTTGCTTATTTTGTTCAAATCCTTTTTTTTCTTTTGAGTATAGCACGTAAGAGATGAAATGTTGGAACATCAGCGTCTTTTTTTTTCGACACCTCCACTGGGAGCTCATTATCATATCCATATCCCAAGAGATATAAGTTTGAAGTTTAATATACAGCACCTTATGTCCTGGTATGAAATGTGACCAGTGTAGTGCCTGTTTGAAATGGGCTGTTTGCTTGGCCTGTGGTAATGCGAGCTGCAGCTTTTTTTCTGAAACTGTAAAAATGATCTGCAGTAATTGAGCCTCGGTACCAAATTCGACACTGCATTTCTGCGGGCCCTTAAAAATACACACGGCAAGTGTGAAGCTGATAAGATGAACGGTTATCCAGACATGCATTACACATACGGACAGACAGACATTTACTGGAATTACTTAAAACATGTTGATTTAAGATCTGCAACATAACTCCATAATAAAGCTGCCATGAATAATCCAGAGTCAGGTTATGACTGTGCTAATGATGCCACCAACTCTGATGCCTGAAGACAAGAAATCATAGACTGCCTGTAGAAATGGACAAAAGATATCCGCTTCCTCCCACTATCCAGAAATACTAAGAATACTACCATAATGCACGGATGACGGTGTTTGGAGCAAGAGTCTGCAGAGTAGTGATCGTGCTGTAGAGCCATGATATGGAGGTGTCACCAATACACGTGCCTGACGAATCGCAGGTCAGTCTAGGCTGTCAACTGTGACTTTTTAACCTGATTTTAGTAGCAATGACTAATTAAAACCAAAACTTACTGACATCACTGTAAACGGCATCTAGGAAATCTAGGAACATGTATTTGACGTGTACTTTTACATTTTTTGTTTGGCCAATGTCGTAGCCACTAACATGGAGGAGGCTGAGTTTATGAACAATACTGCAGGTTCCAATTGAGACGCTTTGGCTTCCCTTTTGAGAGCTGTCATGCCGCCCTTCTTTATATACAGTGTGTGACCAGGCGTGTTAAATAACAGTAAAATATTACAGATGCAACCGTTGGGATGTTGTATTAGGTTGCAGAGTCCCCTACCGTGAGTGGCTGTGTTGTTTTAAGTCTCTGCCAGTCCAGGCCTCCTCAGCACCTCATCCAAAACCTGGAACATCTGGCCAGAGGCCAACACCATCTGCCCGCCCAGGGCTGTGTGTCTAAGGAACGATGTGTGCCTTCGGAATCACCTGGCCAGGAAGTAAAGAGGACAAGACATCAGTAGGTCAAAGAAGAAGAGATCTGTTTAAGACCATAAATAGCAACTGTGGTAGTTCTGCAAACAAAGGATGTTTACAGTATTGTGATTTTCCCAAAACTGCTGTTGATTACATTCAAATAAATATAAAGGAGCCACAAAGCCAATGAAAAGCAGGTGCTTCAGAACAAACACACCGTGCCTGGCTTCTACAGTGCTTTCAAGTTGAAAGTAGTTTTCGAAGGGCAGACAAGAGCTTTGATTTATAGCCAACACCTGATTGGCTCCGACCCAATGGCTAGGGTACAGGGCTCCATCTTGGAGTTTAAACACCTCGGGCTTCATCTAGTTGGGATTCATGTTATTCTTTTTTTCCCTAAACAGGAGCATATGAAACAACACACTGCGATAACATCATCAATCTGCCTCCGTGGCCTTACCAGCACTACATGTGACATTTAGGAGCTTGGCAGCTTGCCCTGAGTTAACATGCATGTAGCTAACAGAGGGTGAAGTTAAGGGAAAACATGTAATAGGAGAATTTACTTTAGCCTTATAAAAGTGAGGAGATCGAAATATGAGTGTTTCAAAGTTGACAGCGGGAAAATCTGCAGAGAGCATTATATTTTGACTGTATGTTCTTTAGCAGATTGATGACGAGGAAATAAGGTTCAACCAACCAATGGCAACTAGGATATGCAGAATCAAAATAGAAATAGTCAGTTAATACGCTTGGAGTAGTTGTTACTCCCATGACAGTCTAAAAAAGCCGCAGTCTGGTGGGAACAACGCAGACAGTAGAAATACAGGGTTTTATTTTTTAAATAAAATAATGGAAACAACTACAGATTACTGGAATTATTTAAAGAATAAATAAGGGTCCAAAAAATAAACAAAAGCAAACACACACCCTATGAGAGCAAAATCAGCTTTTAACATACGTGTCAAAATGTTAGTTGCTGTGACTTTTACAAAGCTCTATTTGTATTCACATGCACAAACAAATACCCATCCGTCCATCAATTATCTATACCGCTTATCCACTGAGGGTCTCCAGGAGAGCTGGAGACAATCCCAGCTGACATTGGGCGAGAGGCGACATTGGTAATGGCTGCACCACCTTGCTGCCCCTTGCACAAACATCCTCTTATATAAATATATCAGCTTTTAGGTTTCATTTCTAGTGGTCCATTTTTGTATGTTATCATAATTTATTCCCACAAGTGTCATGTAATGAAGTTAAACTGATGTCAATCTATTAAATTAAATTATCCTCTTACCACTTAAGATAATATTATTTTACCCAATGCCAGCAACCGTCTTCTCTGTATGTACAATATTTGGACCCTCAGAAGAAAAGAAAAATGTAGAGCTGTGCAGTACCATCTGAGATAGAATCATCGCCTGAGGCTTTCTTTATCATGAGAGGGTGGTTCTCAGTTACATCCTCAACAACGGAGCGCGACGAAGTAATATATATTCAAACCACACAGTGCATCACAGCAGCATACATGTGTCTGTAAGACTATTGCAGGGCCACCCCTGATCTCAGCTATAAAGTCCCCACGTTATCTTCCCTCTCAGTCTCGTGTGTGTGTGTGTGTGTGCGTGTGCGTGCGTGGCCACATGAAAGTCTGGCCTTGCCGCAGGGAGTAACATTGTAATGTTGACTAAATTTTGCCTTCTTATTTTGAAAACCAAAATATGATCACCACTGCAGTTGTGAGTCATCAAGACCAACATTCGCAGAGCAATGTGGTCCAGATTACTGTGTGTTGCTTTATCAGTTAACTTACAATACTCAATTTGAACTAAGAAACTTAAATTACCTTGGAGAACTAACTACATGCATCAACAAATTATCACAAACTGCAGAAAATAGGCTTCACCTCCACCTCCACCATCTGACCTGAATTATATGTTAATCTATATAGTACATGTTAAAAAAAAAAAACATTAAAATAAAATGTATTGGCTCTTACAAATCTGAGAACATAAATACTAATTGAGATATTCAATTCATTCTAATGTAACATTCAATTCAAAAGAAAGAGCAACAGTTTTGATGCTGTCATCATGCTGCTGCTCATATCTGTAAATCAGCCTCTTGGCATATTTATAATGTAGTTATTAAATGTAAAATAAGCTTAAACTGCAACCCATGGCTACCCCCTGTCTATAGTAGGCAAACGTTTTCTACATCAGTGCAACAAAATGTAGGAATATCAAGTAATTTAGATTAATAGAGTAATTTAGACTGCAACAGGATAATCCCCATCCATTTTGGAGAACTGATGCTCTATTTAAGTTTTTCTAAACGTTTTGCCAGGATACACCAGTCCACAGGGACAATGTATCAAATATATCACATGGACAGTTATCATCCATTTAAAGTTAACTTTTTTAACATGTGTGGATGAAAAGTAGATTTTAAGGTATTGTAAGACTGTACAGTATCTGCAAGGGTCTTTCAATATTAGTACCAGAGAAGGATGTGCCAGTGTTTCTAGAATAACCTTGATGTTATGTGAATCAAGTTAATATACAGTAATGCATTTTTTCTCTTTTCTGTGACTTTTTCAATAAATCAGAACGAGGCTTATTTGAAACAGATATAAAAGCCTACCTGATACAATCACATGAGTTACCTGAACTTCATCTCTACAGATTTCCTTGATAGAATCTAGATAGATTATTCTCAGCCTAAAGAAGTAGGACGAAGCCTTGGGGCCAGCAACAGTCCAGTTTTTCTTTCTTCTGTAATGTGATAGATAAACAACCAAGATGCTTTCAATATATACTTAACATAAAAATAATATCTTATATATATGTATAACATATATTTGGATCACTTCGTGCAAAAACCAGACACATATTTTTAGCTACTTAGAGAGAGAGATAATTATCAAAACTGAAATAATAAATTAGGGCAAATTTAGTGGCTGGTCAACTTCATCATAGCTCTCTGAATAGAAGCCAAAAGCTTCATTAACACCTGACACGAGTTTACTCCAACTAGGCTCCTGTCACAAACACCATCCAGGTGTACAAGAGATTTTAGACGATTATTTCACAGCACAAATGCTGTATCGTGTAACTATGAGACTTCTAATTTACAAAAATGTTCAGACATTTCGATCAAATGTCACTGTCAAATGAAATTTTAAATGTGAGAAAAGAAACTTTATGTTCATAATAGCCTATTAGAATACACTGTTTGCTCTCAAACAGACTGTCATATTTGGGTTATCAAATCAAAGTCTGTGCAACATCAATTTAAAGAACTCAATGTACATGACTAGTAAACACTTATGATACAAACATGAGCAAATTTAATATTAACCTATTATATTACGTGCGGTATCAAATAATAACTACTTGTCCACTTGAGTCCTGTAACTACCAAATATTGCAAACATCATCATGATGAATTTGAGGAGGGCTCCTCTTCTCAATGTTCACCTGTAAATGATTGAAGCCGTTTAAACAAACCACAGCTAGAATTCTGTGATCCTGATTTCACGTACTGATTCGTAGGGGGTCGGAAAATGTCAGAGAGCAAATCGCATTTTAAGAAAGGTGCAGTAACAGGGAGTCAACTTGAAGGGAGGGATGGAAGGGAAAGAACAGAGGAAGAGGAGGAGATTGATAGAATAGAGAGACTAGGAGAAAAAAAAGAACAATGTGCAGTAATAAAATAACGAAAAAGAATTCAGAAAATAAAATGGAGGACATCATGACCATATCTGTTCACAATTAAAGCCGCTCTACTGTTGATCATTTTTGTTGTGCAACTGGATGGTGATAGTAATTTTAAACAGACAATGAGCTTTTGCTGGTTTTGTACTTATGTACAATTTGTGTGTGTGTGTGTTACCAGAGGCAAGGCAGCAACAGCTGTGTTTAATAGTGACCGAGCCGCCAAGGCCACAGCTGGACTGAAGCCACAGACAGTGAATGCTGCTGTCGGGGAATCAGAGGGGGAGGAGGGGTTTGGCCTGACCTGGCTAAGGTCTGGTTTAGTCTGGGCAGGCACAGGTTTTGGAAACCACAACAGCTCTGTGATGGTCTGAGGGTGGACCTGGCTCACAAAGAGCAGGCGAGAGCCTGCCTCCTCTTGTCCTTTCAAACAGCGGGCAATCAGCACATTCCACTCTCTGCATGAGTAAACACAAATCAATTTCAACTTCTATGTGTCAGTAAAGGCATTTTCTCTCTTTCTGTGTTCCTAAATATGACTGCACGGCTTTGATGTTCTTTGGGAAGTGTGAAGTTCACTTGTATTGTCAACCAGTATAAAAAGACTACTGCTGAAATAGTTTAAAAGCGAACGTGTACGAGGCAGTGTACCTGCTTCCCTTATTAAAAACCTTAATGCTATGATCTTCATGTTGTGGTTCAGAAGCTGGGTTTTCAACAATCAAACTATGAATTGTTGGACTATTCTGGGCTTCACATTGCATTTTTGATGATCGGCAGCTAATTATTCTAATTAGCTTGATATAGTTGAGACAAGGAAACTTGCTGTCTTCAAGAAACAGTGCAAGGACTATTCAAGGAGAAACCTGTTGATGTGAATATAAAAATGTTTAAGAATTTATTCAAAGCCGGGAGGAAAAAACATTGTTAATATGCAGCATGCGTTGCAGCCAGAACTGGATATAAAACAAAATGGAGAGGTAAAAAGCTTTAGGGTGGGACATTGCATGGTAGCTAAATTGATGGAATTTTGTGGAGCTGATTATATTCAAAAAAATATTTTTTATTGTTTTTAACTTTATCTGATACCATACTATTAACTTTAACATATTGAGTAGCAGTGACTTTGGTTTTTGACAGTTTGTTGGTTTTTGCACACGCATTCACGTGTAACATTCGCCCTGAGAGATTTTATCACAAGTGGAGCACACTAAGTACGTGTGTTCACACCTGATGTTAAAAAGCTTCCTGAATGTGTCTCCTGTGACCACTAGTGATCATATCTTACTTCCC